GGGAAATTTTTCCCATCTGAATTCTCTTAGATACTTCACATTCAAAGACTTCTACCGTCCTGGTGGTCCTCTCTTCTTCTACGTTGGCAACGAGGGGCCAGTCGAGATATATGTCAATCACACTGGCCTCATGTGGGAGCTCGGGTGAGTCGGGGAAAGCAACAACAACAGTGGAGTTTCACCCTAGTGATATGAAAAACACTAGTGAAAAACATATTTCACGCGAATATCGCGTTTTCACCGAGTTTCACGCTACTTCACGTAAAACGGGTGGTGAAACTCCAATGAAAATTCTTTTGGTTGTGGCGGCGCCAGGTTACGCAGGAAACAAATCTGGTTTCTGCTATTTTTAGTGACAGTGGTCAGTCAAGACGTTTTGGGTGTTTCGAATTGCTATTTGAATTTCGCGCCGTCGATGCAAACGATTTAAATCGAAATATAGTTTTCCGACGTGACTGATACTACTCCGAAAACGCTAACATTCAAGTGGTTGAATGTCTTTCATTTGGAAGGGATGGATCACACTTCATCATTCCTTCTCCCTAGATCGGACCTTGGCGCCTTCTTGGTGTTCGCTGAGCATCGTTACTACGGCAAAACACAAGTCTACAGCGACGGCACTCCGGACTGCTTGCGTTATCTCACGATAGAGCAAGCTTTGGCCGACTACTCGGTGATGACAGACACTTATACACGAATAGCATTGTCGCTGATAGGTTCTGATAGACTACATTTTCGATAAACACGATTTGCCACCCTCGACAGCGACGATTGCTTTTGGGGGAAGCTACGGGGGGATGCTGGCAAGCGCTTTCCGATACAAGTGAGATTCCTTTCGTGTGGGAAAGTTCTAATTGGTTTTCGCAGTGTTAACCACTGCTGAGCTTAGCTGAGAAAAGCGATCACGATCAACTATGTGTTGGCGAAGATATACAAATTCCTTATCTGCACACTTCTACTCGAAATTCGTGTTTTAACCATTGATTAGCTCAGCTGAGGCGCGCGAACACATATTCTATCACGTTCTCCATTCAACTCTAGATAGGCTTTTCACCTGAGTAGATATCCCCATATAGTCGACGGAGCGATCGCAGCATCTGCGCCCATATTTGCAATTGGTGGGGTTACCCCCGAGCCTAGCAAGACCGCGTTTAACGAGATAATCACTCGTGACGCCGGGCCGGTGTGCGCGCAGAGGTGAGCTTCTCTCATGGTGACACTATCCAGTGGACAGTGTCACCATGAGAGAAATGGATAGTATCCGTCAGTATGCACACAGCCAACAACATGCGTTGCTGAAAAAATGTGGAAATTCTGAGGGAGTTTTCATTGGTCTCTGTTTTCTGTTTTCTGTTTTTTTTGGAAATTTTCGTGTTTTCGTATATACACTTCTACCCAAAATCGCGTGTGAATTTCCTCAATATTGTGAGGGAACTTACGAGCTCAGTTGAGGAAAGCAAACGTATATTCCCATACTGCTATCCACATAATCAAGGTTCAACGCGGCATTGAAGTTAATATATAACATGAGCAAGACTGAACGCGGAAGGGACATGCTTATGACGAACCTCAGGTCTGTTCTGAGATTGTTTCCATAACTACTACTTTAATTCCAGATGGTGCGACAATTCTTCGCATCCGAACAGCTCCGATCTGGCATACCAGATGGTTGCATGGGCGACCGCTCCTTGGGCCTACCTTGCAATGGGTGACACTGGCATCACCGAGTCACCATCGAATTTTCCGTCAGGGAATTTTCCATACCCCAGCAATTATATAACTGCGGCGATGAACGTCGGAGGAGGGGCAGATCTGCCGGCTCATCCGGTTCGCGTTGCATGTGAACCTTTCGAGCGCCTAGATATGATGCCTACTAAAACGGAAGGCGTGA